CCTTCCTGATTCTTAAACTCAGGCCTCCATTAAAAGTGGAATCCTCCCTTGCATTGAACTACGTGAAAGTGTTTGATTTTTTAAAAAATTAGGATGCTTATGAAAACCTTTCCCTGCAGATGACTCAGTCTCAATTCTGTTATCTCAATAGATTTATGGGCTTTTTTACATAAACAATAAAAATTTAATGTCAAAAACTACAAAGGCTACTACAGTTCATTACTTTCAATTTTTAAAAATCCTGAATTTAAAAGAAAATTGCTTTAAAATGTTTTTTGTGCACAATGAACTTGTGTTAAAGAAGTATAACAGTTCCAATAGGATGCAGATAATTTGAACTTAGAGAGGGATGTGCTTCGGGGTTTTTTTTTTTGCAGGTGATATTCCATATAGATTATGAACTTTGCCCTCCATACTTCAATAGGATCTTCTTTAAGCATCTTGCCAGGAAAATATTGGGGGAAAAAAAAAAAAGCTGGAAAAAGGAAGCCAAATTCACAGAGAAGAGCTAAAGTAAAAAAACCTACTAATGCAAGAAAAATGGATTATATAATGATTCACAAAGTCAAGCAAGTCGAGATGGAGGGGGCACCTAGATTTCCTTAATGAAATGCATTTCTTTGTTCTGAACCACTGCGTGGCTTTTTCTTGTGTGCTTTGACAAAGACCATGTGCAAGTTAAATATCAGAGTGGCAGTGACTTTGCACTGGCTCTTGCAGCTCTGAAGATTCACAGTCAGCTGAGAGCACTGGCTGGCCCTGCCTTGAGCAAAGGGATTAGACCATCTTTGATTTATGGATTTTAGGAGTCAGATCTTTCCAAATGAAGGATTCATGTGTTTTTGTAGCCTCGGGGAAGCAGCCAGCTGTGAATGGCTAACCTTTATTGTGGGATTTCTGTTCTTCTTCATGTAAGACACAAACTTATTCACCATAACAACCACTAAAAACTGTGTGGCATGAAACAGTAAAAATAAAAAAAAGCAGCAATACCCATCCTTGAAGGAATATTAATTCAAGCCAGCTTCAATTCCATAATGGAAAGATGTACAAAATATTGTAATTCATAATGGCAGGCAATTTTAAGATGGAAATGTTGAAGCTGTTCCTCGTACGTGGGAATAAATAATGGCAAATCGTTTATAAAAATAAATAAAATCTGTGAAAGTACAATGCCTGATATTGGCTTGGATTCTGTTCTGGCTTCTGTGAAATTAAGAATGTGATGTTAGATACACACAGGTGAAATATGTTCAAAACATTTAAAATAGCAAACGGGAAATCGGAGTATATGAGTGATTTTTTTACAAGGTTTTATCAAGTTGTTTGCATTTTTCTTTATTTTGAAATGACAATGATATTAAACTAAGTTTTGACTATGGAATAAACAAGAAAATTGGAATAATAACACTCACAGTGTATTAATTAGAAAGACCTATTTTTTATGTCTTAATGAATTAAAACTTATGTTTTTGATGATTTAATATATAATTTTGTAGTCCTCCTAACTTCATAAATGTTTATGATATTGCTAAACATCAGGAGGTACAGCTTCTGTATTCCACTCCCAGTTTTCTTAACCACAGTCTTAAAAGCATTAAATACTACCACAGTCCTCACGAGGGTGTTTGTGGCTGTGGATTGTCAGTTGATGCTCTCCCTCCTCCCCAGGAAAAACATGTGCACACTTGTGTAAAGAGAATTAACTTTTTCCTTCATGAGATAATACTGTATTTCCTGGGAAGCTGGAAAAAAAACGGCATGCAGGAGTTTTACAACATAAACTGATTGCATAGAATCAGAGAACCATTGGTAAGGGAAAAGATCCTTACAGTTCCTTAGAGACCTTAACAACTGTTAACCTGCCACTGCCAAACCCACCACTAAATCACATCCCCGAGTGCCACATCTGCATATCTGAGTGCACATGGACAATACATTTGAGAAGCAAAAGGATTCCCATCCATCGCCATGGACTTATGCATTACAAGTAAAAATAAATAAATACTTTCTGAAAACTTTCAGAGCCTTTGTGCCACACAGCATTATTTTTAAATGGAGGCAAAGTCTTGGAGAGGCATTTCAAGTGTCTAGGCCAGGTACTAGAGTGCAGCTGCTTGCTTGCATATATGATTTGCTCTTGTGATAGCAGAAGAGAGCCCTTACCAGGCTGTGCAGTCTGTGTAAGCCAGAGCAAATTCAGCATGCTGTATTTCTGTGTGCTGGAAAGCAGATCCAGGTTAGAGGTTTCATCTGGTCTCCTGTTGTCACAGCTCTGATAAGGTCAGGGAGGTGACTCACTGCTCCATCTGCTCTGGTCATGAGGAACCCACACAATGCAAGGCACACTAAGGAAAAAGCACCAGGCATAAGTTAGGCCTTCACCAGTTAAAGCCTGGAGCACCTTAAAAAGAAAATACAGTCCACAAAGCAATACAAATGAGGTCAAAGTATGTTCCTATTTCAGATGTTTAGCTGCTGCCTTGCTAAACAATGAGCTGTTAAATTGAACAATATTTGTATTTGTGTAATTCTGTTTTTCCTGAGTAAAGTACAGCTGCCACATGAGGGCTGTGCTTGAGGAAATTGTCAAGAGCATACTGTGTGCTGGTAGGTCAGTGTTTAATGACTCCCTGACATATAATAATCCAACTAGTAGAAAATTTTACAATAATCCAGTAACTTAAAGTTCTTGTCCCGACATTTGCAAGTTTCCATACTGCAAAACCTCGTATGAGTGGAAAAGCATTCTTACAACATCTTGCTATTCCTTTTTTCTGCAGCTGACCAATTGATAGATTGTCCACAGTACAATTGTTGGAGAGGGAAGACAGTTATTAAGTAAATTAGTAAATGGACATGCAAAAACCCAGATGTTTGAAACATGGAAAACATAATATACTGTGTCTAAATGAATAAACAGTGTGTGGGAAAAAAATAAATCAAAGATGTACTCCCTGCCCTGCTGCTTTCAGGAACGTGGTCTTTTGTCTGCAAGCTCATCCAAGCAGAAGGTGATTTCTATTCTCCAGAGTCACTGATTCAGATGATGCCTTTGACAAGAGTGCATTCCCTGTGACAGGGGGCTGGTTTTGCCTCAAATCCATCTCAAGGGGCTTGCATAGACAGTGATCTAAGTCTTACAAATTCCTTTCATGTAATAGCCCTGAAATGTGCTTTTTCTAACTATGTGTGTATATATTCTAAGATTATTCTGGCTCATTATGTTCTTTCTAAATTAATAAATTAAGGCTTAAGAATAAATTATACTTTGGCAAAAAGATCATATGTGTTTTTGTGCTATATATGAGATGCTTTTTAGCTGTGTTTGTTAGCCTCAGAAAAAGTTTAGCTCTCTGGGCTGCACCTCAGTTATAAAAATTTGTTATAGTCCAAAAAATATTCTCTGGCATCCATTACCTAACATCATTTTGGACAAGACTTTGTTCCAGTCCAATATAAGAACCTACTATTCATTGTTTGCTTTTCTACAGAAGCAGTATTTTCAATAAATATGATTTTTTTCCCACTGTAAAAAATCAGTAGAGAGAGCCTGGTTACAAGGGTTCGTTTATACTAAATACAGATGAGTTTGGTTTGTTGCTTTTTTTTTTTTTAATTTTATTTATTGGAGAGGTTGTCTCTGTAGCTTTAATCATACAAGATAAAAAGAGTAGAACAAATGACCAGAAGAGGTGATCAATACTACAAACTCCTTCTGATCCTCAGTTATTCTGCTTAGAGTGTAAGCCCCTCTGGAATTTATGGGAGTTTGGTTTGAGGCCCAAATTCGCAAAGATATTACAAAGAAATATCTAGCTTCAGGTCTATTTCCTTGGAGTCTGATGACCTTTGGGAATTCGGGCCTCAGGCATTTTTTTTTAATGTCTTCATTGTACCTAATCTAACATTCAGTTGCTGCTCAAAGCTGAGTTAAAATTCTAGATGTTACCTAAGTGTCACCTGTACTTTGTCAATATTATTAAGCTGATTTGAGGCAGTGGATGAACTGGAAACCTTACTACAAAGGCAGAGGTGGAAAAGAGGAATACCTTGTCTAAATAGTTCTCTGCCAACAGTTTCATGTGCCATGCTTCCTGCGATGTGATGGAACACAGTTGAACTCTTAACTGATTCCTGATAACTGCTAACATTCTTTATTCCTTACACTGTGCAGTCCAAGAGGTTTTCATCAAAAAAAAAAAAAAAAAAAAAAAAGTCAGACTGTTGTACCAGTAAGCTAAGATTCATGGTGTGTTCAGAAGGAGACTTTCTGTGGCACATGATGTGTGGTGGCTGGGAGATGGAGGGAAGGGTTTCCCTGTGGGGAATGCAGCTCTGCTGCATTTCTGCTGGCACTCAGAGCTGCCTGAAGCTGCCCTAGCCTGCCAGGAGCACTGGGTTTATACTGGTGATTATTGTAATAATGCACTTGCAGGAAATTTTCAGGACTTTCATCGTTTACTCACCATTACCTCTCACCCAGGCTCCACAATAAAATGAGACTTACAGGCCAGTTCAATCCTGGCACAACAGTGTCGTCCTGGAGCTGTGAGCTGACTGCAGCAAAAAGTGTCCGTGAAATTCTTGGGGTACAGCACAAAGAGGAAAAACGACGTGGAAACTGGCGAAGACACACAGAGATACAAAATTATGATATTGCCTGAATATTTTTTAGAAAAAATTTTAAGGCAAGCAGTCAGACAGAGTGGGGTGCTGGCCGGCCCGATGCAGGTCGTGAGGCGAGAGCATCTCTGTCGAGCCTTCGCTGGAAAGCAAAGCACAGATGGAGGTGCCACGCAGCTCCCACCGTCCCCTTCCTACCAATGGGAGGAAGAAAATCTGAAGGGGAAACTCGCACTGCTCCTTCCCCTCAGCACCTCGCCCGTCTCTCCGCAGCCTCCCCGCTCGCAGGGCGGGGGCTCCGGCGGGGCCTGCGGCTCCGCCCGCCCGGGCCGGGCCCCGCCCGCCGGCGCTGAGGGACAGCGGCAGCGCGGGGACAGCGGGGCCGGCGGGGAGCCGAGGGACAGCGGGGCCAGCGGGGAGCCGAGGGACAGCGGGGCCAGCGGGGAGCCGAGGCCAGCGGGGAGCCGAGGCCAGCGGGATGCGGCGCTGGGCGCTGGTGGCCGCGCTGGTGGCCGCGCTGTGCGGGCCCGCGGCGGGCGGCGGGCGGCGGCGGGCGGCCAGCCTGGGCGAGATGCTGCGGGAGGTGGAGGCGCTGATGGAGGACACGCAGCACAAGCTGCGCAACGCCGTGCAGGAGGTGAGGGGGCGCGGGGGGCTCTCTGCTCCCGTACCTCCCCGGCCGGGCGGCGCCGGCAGCATCCCGGAGCCCGAAGGAGCCGGAGCCCCGGTGCCCGCCGGCCCTCGGGGCTCGCCCGGTGCGCATCCCGGGCTGGGCCGGGCCATCGTGCGGCTGCAGCCCAGAGCGAGAAAGGGACGGTGCGTGGCGAGGGGAGGGCGGAGGGAAGAGTTACGGGACCGTCTTTGTGCCGCAGGAGCTAAGGGTATCCCACCGGGGTATCCCGAGCCGGGATTCAGGGCTGTAAGTGTCCTGAAAATGTGTGGAGGAGCAGCGTGCTTGTGGTGTAATTGCGTGTCTCGATCTCCAGTTGCTGGACCAGAATTGCCCAGGATCCGTTTCAAAGCCAGAAACTGAGACCAGACCCCGAGCCATTGTCTCATATGGTTGTCAAAACACCTTGTCCCTGCACTCGCCTTTCTTGTGTGCTTTTCATTCCCCTGCCTGTTAAGCATCTTCCTTTCAAGTTCTCTTTTCCTCTCATTCAAAAATACTTAGTCTACAAAAACCTGTAACTGACAACTTGCTGCAAAAACAGAACTTGGGTTTACTGTAATTAAATGATTTTGGACCTTTTGCTGTCCTCTGGATGGTTTCTGAAATCTGCCACTGTTATCTGCTTGATTTAGACTGCAAGTACATTGAGACAAACCATTCTTTCCAATGCTACGAAGATGCTTAAGGGTGTAATCAGAATTTCTGCCTGTTTTTCTGTAGTCGGTTCTGGATTGCTGCCTGCATGCAGTGCGAAGTGTGAATTGTTTGAGCAGAGTCTTAGGAGATAAATGGTTTGCACTTAGAAAGATTTGCAGCTGTTATTTAAAATAAACAGACACACCAGAAGGAGAGATTTTGTCTTGGGAAAAATCCTGTTGTTCATCCTGATTGAACTTTTGCCTCCCAGCTCTGTTACGGTGGTTGCAAATAAAAGGACACGATTTATTCTTGCGTGTTTACAAGATTCACACCCTTCTTCATCCCACAAAGACAGTAGGAACTGAAACAGAGAATAAAATTCTGGATGTGTGCACCCTCAGCCACAGGGCTGCCTCTGGTGACTTCGAGGGGCTTTTGTTTCTCCCTCTTGCCAGGATATTTTCTCCTCTTTGTCAGAATGGAAAGTCTGCCTCAAGTTTTCAGTGGTTTTCTGTGAAGAGCAGAAAGCTGGGCTCTCGACTGACAGCAGCCTGTGCAGATACCAGATTGGCAGTGGCCTGCACACTTTTTTCCCCCACAGGGACTGGCTTGGGCTTCAGCAGCCCAGAGCTCAAGGGTTTAGCTCAGCCCTGTTTTTCTGGCCCATGAAAAGAGCAGCTGCAGGCAGTGTCTGGAGCAGGTAGTGTCTGTCGCTGCACAGGAAGCGTGGCTTGGTCCTTTTTGTGACATTTTTGCTAATTTTCAGTCGTTTTAGTATGTTTGTTTTTTTTTTTTTTTTACTGGGCAGATGGAAGCTGAAGAGGAAGGGGCAAAAAAGCTGTCAGAAGTCAGGTTTGAGGACTTACCTCCCAACTACCATAACGAGTCCAACATGGAAACCAGAGTGGGCAACAGGACTCTTCAGACCCATCAAGAAATTGATAAGGTATGAGAAAACTTGTATATGGTGAGCTCTCCATTCTTAAACACATTTTCTTCAAACCTCCCCCCCCAGCCCCAGCCCAGTTTTACGTGTTTATTCACAAAATAATTTGGAGTTAAAATTTTCCTGATGATAATTACTTTGGGGTTTGAATGGGTCTTCTGTGCTTGACTAGTCACTGTGTTAAGGACACCTGTCATGAAAAGTTAGTGTGAAATAACAATTTATTTTGAAAAAGGGCCTGCTAAAAATAGGACACAGCTACAGCTATTACATGGGGAATGAAAACCCAACCATCTCCTGCTCAGTTGGCTCCTTTACAGTGTCATTTTAAATAGACAAGGAGGTAGCTCTGTCATCTACTTTCCCCCTCAGATTATGATTTATTAAGAGTGACAGCAAAATGGGGAAAAAAGAGGGGGTGGGAGTGGGTTAATTATTGCAGGATGTAGGATTGAGAGTAACAAAGGACTAATAAAAACTGCAGCTTGATATTTTGTTCTTTTCTGGTATCAGGTTACAGATAACAAAACTGGATCAACAGTTTTTTCTGAGACAGTTATTACATCCATAAGAGATGGAGAAAACAAAAGGAATCATGTAAGTGAGCACGTTTCTTTCCTTTTGAAAATCAAACCAAAACTTTGGGTTCCTTGTTCAGAAGACTGTAACAGAGCTCACCTAACAAAATTTTGGAATGATTTGAAACACACAAAACTATTGGGGTAAGCAGTCAAAAATGTTTGTGATTTTAATTAGTTTAACTTAGGAATATTGTGACTTGGAAATGGAGTTCCAGTGTTGTGGTTAGTAGACATGTTTGACTATCCAATTTGTCTGTCAGATGTAAATGTTGAACAGCAAAGATAGTTACACAGCCCTTTCCAGTGAGTGTGGCTAAATCCTTAGCATAACAGTGATCTTGTCTTCCATTAAAATATTGCTTCATCGATTTTAACAGTTGAAAATAACCCCAAATCATTCATTTATGAGGAATCTTTGGGACAACATATGGCTCTATTTGCTTTTCAAGCGTAACACAGTGATGGACAGCTGGTTATCAAATGCCACTTGGGGGTAAAGGGAGAGAGATGGGACAATAAATCCCCTTCCCCTCAAAATATAGTTGTTTAAAGACTCTCAGGGGAGTTTAAAAGATCAAGAATATTCTTTACATGAGTCTTGCAAGCACAGGTACATTTGTTAAACATCAGCAGTCACATGAGAAATTCAGCACTTACCACTGCTTAAAAAATTGGGTTTTCTTTGGTTATAGTCTTACCAAAATTGATTCTTTTCTGTGCTCTTACTAAGACTGGGCTTGCCAGGTTTCCTCTGATAGCTGGCTTCATCTGACTAATAGTTTGTGGTTTGATTTACTTCAACATATCCTGGCTTTTTTTAGAAGAACTTACCTCCAGTTCTTTCACAGAAGCAGCTCTGTAACTATTTTATAAATGGAATTATGGAAATTATTTTATAGATGCAATTATGGAAAAATTATGTCAGTAGTTCCGATTTTAATGGATACAGAACCTGCAATTAGTGCCCCTTTTCTAAAGTTTTCCCTCTTGCAAGCTCATGTTTTTATACTGCTATTTAAGCTTGAAAATGGCAAGTAGCAAAATACAGCACACACAAGCAACTTCACTTTTTTTCTTTTTACTATTTTGCAAAGCTTGTAGCTTAAGTGAAAACTCAAGGTATAAAATAAATTGTAACCATTCTAAACCACATCTGTTTCCATACAAAGTGTTAACATCCTACACAGTGCATTTAAAAATGAGATTATGCATAACTAAGACAATCTAAATGGGTTTTTTTCCCAAGCAAATGTGATCATCATCTTCAAACCCAGTGTACAAAGACAAACTTTTTAACCTTCTTAGCACTGTAACACAACACTTTTTTCTTCTTTCTAGTAATATGATAAGTAATTTTAAAAAGTAATACCTCTTTTTGTGGGATTGTTTGCGGGGTTTTTTTTCAAATGTGAATAGAAGTATATCTGTTAGCTTTCAGTTCTCTTTTTTGAAAGAGATTTTTAATGATGCTGGTGTCTAGGGAGAGTGAACCAGGGAACTGGAAGAATATAACAACACTAGTGATGTTTCATAATGTATTTGGCTTGCCTGTGGTGTCTAATCATTCTCACAGCTGTAAAAATTATTTCTAAATTAACTTTCTCCAGGTTTCATACAAAGTTCCTTATAAGCTTCATATATCAAGGTACAGCTGCATTTTCCATCTGGGAAGTTTGCCTCACTGAGCAAGCCAGTGCTGCATCCAGAACTCTCACAGTGCTTTCAGAGCTCCAGCTGAAGGATGTGAGGGCTGAATACAGATTTTGGTCAGGTTTTGTGGTGGCAGCCTTGGTGTAGCTCTGAAGCAAGAACAACTAGAGCTGGTCTCCTCCTCACTTCCATCCTGCATCCCTTGTTCACCAGCACCCCCCTGCAGGCTGCAGGAGCAGAGCTGCAGCTGTTAATGCTTATTTGCCCCCTCACACTCATTCTGAACTTTCAGCATGCCCACGGTACAAACACCTTATTCAGAGGTTGCCAACTTAGAGGAAAAGCAGCCTCCTGATGTACTTGGCTCCTTGTTTAAGGAGAGCATGAAATTAATGTGACTAAGAGATGCCTAAAAGGAGTAAATCTGAAAATGCTTTCAAACTTTAGACATGAAGGAGGAATATGAATCACTTTTGCTATTACAAGGGCAAAGAAATATTGTAGGAGTAATGCAATTAATAATTGGAAGATCTGGGTTACAGCAAGGAAAGAAGTGGTGCTGTGGAGAGATCTGTGAAGAAGAAGAAAAATTTTGTCCAAATTAAAAGGCACTGTTGCTTAGGTCTGTAAACTTAAGGTAAAAGTATTGGGAAATGAGTTGCAGAAAACTTTGCGCTGGGCCCTTAGGTCACTTTCATGTACACAAATTTTCGTATCTGAAGTTTTGTGTGACATTGTGACATGTCCTGGTCACTCTCCAGGCCACAGGCTTCACAGACCACAGGTGGTGGAAGAGTGATTCCACTAGTTCCATGGGCTCAGTTTATAGCCTTAACTTATAGAAGTTAGGGATTCCCACAGCTCCTGCTCTTTACAAATCTGGTTGGTAGAAAGAAGAATTTTCCGAGCACTGTCACAAACCATGTGCTCTGAAATTTAAACTCTGTGTAATTCATTACTGCAGTAATTTGTGATAACTGGAACCCTTAGTTTACATTTATTTTCTGTGCTGAGTTATAAGCCTCTGAAATCACTGAAAGCTTTTCATGTGGTGTTTTTGGGCTTTGAGAGATGACACAAGAGCCTCACAAGAAGGCAAAGAAGTGTCTGCATTGCAATAATAAATCCACTTATTGGCTGGAATGAGAAATCCAGCAAGGGAGAAGCAGCTTTGTGGAAAACAGGTTGTGCCTGCATTTTAAATCACAGTGCTTGTTCTCCTGAAGCAGGTACCAATACACACACAAACAGGGCATATAAATGTACATAAGCAGGTATATGTACATAAAGTGCAGATACTAGAGAGACATGAGGGAGATTCCTCCACACACAGACTTTTCCTTTCAGACTGTTTCCTCCTGGCTCTGCATCACAGCAGCATTCTCCTCAGACTGCTCTTTGTTAGTGGTGGCTCCTTTGACAGTGCTTTTGTGGCTAGGGGTGTTTGGAGTCTCCAGGAGTGTAGTTGGGCTCGTTGCCATTTCTGGCAATGCAGTCCAGTTCCTCAGAGGCACTGCATTACTGGGAGGCCCCATGTACATTCCCAGACTCACATTCACTTTCTCAGATGTCACTGAGGGTTGGCAGTCACCCCTGTGGATGTCAGGCTTCAATCCAGCAGGCTTGTGTCTTTATAGAGGCCAAAGACAGGCAAGAGGTAGCTGGATGGGCACAAAGTCTGTGGAGGGCTTGACATCCATTTGTTCCTGCATTTAAGGCTCAAATACTCTGTAATTTGCTTCTTCAGGGAGCATTGGGTAGCTTGAAATTTATTAAAGTATTTCCAGTCAGAAGTTCAAGAGCACAGCAAAAAATAACAGCATTCCTCATTATCCTATGAAAATCAAAACCTTTTCTAGCCTGTTGGCTAGGCCTATTTCAGGTATGATATATTAGCCTAACAAAGGGAAAGCAAGGATGAAAAATAAAAGGAACCAAAAATTGGTACTGGTAAGGTTTGCTACAGAAAGATTAGTTACATTTCTTTTCACTTCCATTCAGAGCAGTAATTTACTCTCTATTCTGTTATAAGCTCTCTCTTCTAATTCAAAGCTAGTGTACCTGAGCTTTTTTCTTCTCTCTAGGAATATGATAAATAATTAAAAAAAGCAATACCTCTTTTTGTGGGTTTGTTTGCAGTTTTTTTGGTTTTTTGTTTTTTTTTTCAAATGTTAATAGAAGTATATCTGTTAGCTTTCAGTTCTCTTTTTTGAAAGAGATTTAATGATGCTGGCATCTAGGGAGAGTGAACCAGGGAACTGGAAGAATATAATGCACTTCTCATTTCACTTTAGCACTGTGGAACAGATTCTTTGCTTGCCCCTGGTGGCAGAGGCTGTTGAGGGCAGGGCTGTGCCTCCGGTTACACAGCACAGGTCAAAGTTTCTTTGTGGGAGGGTGTTTAGAGCTGCCCTGGGGCCACACCTTCTGCAAACACAGCAGCTGCTCTCTTGGGGATTTCAAACAGCAGCACGTTATTGGAAGGAGACCCTGGGATGCCCAGGCCTCCATTTCCATGATGAAGGCTGCTGTTTGCACCCCTGGAGCTCGGGGCAGGGAGGTGTCAGTGTGAAACAGCTTTTACAGGCTGACCTGGCAGGTTCTGGTTTATCTGTACAGACAGGACAGATGGCATCCCTTCTATAACAGCCTCATTTAAACCTTTTGTCAGCCTTTATCTACTCTAGCCAGAAAGTACTAAAAAGAAGGAAAACAGTTCTATTTCCCCCTTTTCTAGAGAAAAACAGTGGTTTAAATGGTTGAGCTGCAGTTCTTCAAGTTTCCTGTTACCCGCTGATATCCAGAGCTGCCAAAGTAACCACTTGGTTTCTCTTTGGGCACCTTGTGTGTGATTTCACCAGCCATGTTCTCAGCCACAGGTACTGGAGCTGCTCTCCTTGAGGCTCATACTGCTCCAGGGAGAGGAGTTCCTACCAGTGCTCTGTAGAAAGGAAGCTTTGAAATTGAGAAGGAAGAATCAATGGAATGGAAATTGCAATTTTTCCATCAGCAGCACTGCAGGAGAGGAGTCAAAGGCAGAATTTTGAAAATGCAGCATCTTGGTGTTGACTTCTGCTCCCTAATACCTCAGGGAGGACACTTGTTTTGGGCAGTCTTACGTTTGGGTCCATTTTTTTTTTTGTTGCTTTTTTCACAGAACTTTTAGTCCCTGGTGACTTGCACTCAACAGCCTTAAACTATCCATAGACACGCTAAGTGCATTCCTGGGTTGAAATCCAGGTCTCTGTCTAGCCAAAAATCACGTAATATCTAAATCTGGTAGGTTTTGTATACTTAATAATTTAATTCCTTGGTACTCTAAGTCTGCTTTTCTGTTAGCTGTCCAGCCTGCTCTGCTCCATTAAT